CGGGCCTTATTTCTAGTATAACATAACATAATAAGATGGTATCAATTCCGTTCACCTATCCCACAGTGCTGTTTGAACCATAAATTCCAATGAATTGAGTCAAGTCTGTGTTAGTTTAACAGGACAGAGGGATACAGACCAGTGTACAAGGAAAAAAGATTTTTGATTAAATCCCCTTACACTGTCTGGGTAACTGAGTGTAAAGTAGTACTGAATTATAGCAAGTTTGGCTGTTTGTAACAGTATATCCAATATAATAAAGCTTCTTAAGCCTGCCAAGAGGGTAAGGTTGCCACCCTCCAGAGGGAGTTTGGAGTGCTTCCAGAATTACAATTCATGTCCCAACTACAGAGAACCATTCCATTGGAGAAAATGGCAGCGTTAGAGAGGGAACTCTATGGCATCACATTCCTGTGCACACACCCTCTGCAAACTCTTCCCTTCCCAGGCTCCACCCCCAAATATCCGGGAATTTCCTAACACCACAGGAAGAGGTTTCTTGCAGGTACAGTTTTGAAAACTTCAATCCCTTATTTCATGATACCTGTTCCAGTTCAAGCTTGCTATTGTTATCCTTTTAAAGAAAATCCATCTTGTTTCTCTATGAAGTTTGCCTCAAACCTCAGTTATCAGTGACAGGCTTGGTTGGGTGTTATGTCCAAGCCAATTTCTATCCCAGAAAAACATTTGCACTGGTATTCTAGATGGAGAACAGGAAACTGAAAAAAACCTGGGGTGGTCTGGTGAGGTAAAGTTGTTAAAGCACACCCACCAGGAACATCGCAGTGCTTTACTCATAAAGTATGAATCATCAGAAAAGTTTATGGGGGGAAATGGCAGATGGTTTTTAGGTTATGCTATTTCTGGGTTGTGTTGAAATTGGATCTTTGTCTAAGGTAACCTGTTTGCCGATATCTTCTGATTTAAGTTGCAGTGACATCTGACTCTCTGTACGCTAGGTCAAGTCTGTGGCAGTGCACAAGATCATTGTTGGCACTGTGGAACTAAACATGCTGCTGACTTGTTTAACATATATTAGCTTTGTTCCAAGATGAGACCCTTTTGGCTGTGATATACCTGAAGTGATTTTGCTTGGTTATTGGAAAGACGAAGTAAATATCTCCGATTTGGTATTAGTGGTGAAACTGTTTACTACTGCTAAAATGTGTACTGCCTTTATTTGGGAAAAGGCTCCTCGTTTTTCAGTAGTCTAGATCAGAAAGAATTTAGGTTAGCTGCATTTATATCTAGAGATATTTTAGAAGATCAGAAGCAAATGAATCAGCTGATAAGAAGGACTGATTTTATTTATTGATTATTGTAATACTAGATTTCAGGGAAATATTAAACTTTTTGTTTTCTTTGATTTAATGAGGAATTACAAAGAGTTACTGAGAACACAGTAATTATTTTTGAAGAATGAAAGGTTGTGATATTACCAATGTTCCCTCTAAGCTGTGGAATCTTGTGAGCAAAAATTCTACTTTGTGAGCTGCTGGCATTAAAGGTGTGAGCGAGCGATTTGGCTGCTGCATAAATCAGTTTGCTCTGGAGCCATCCTTCCTGAGCTAGGACAAAAATGTGTGAGCTGGAGGCTAAAAACCTGTGAGCTAGCTCACAGTAATTCAGCTTAAACGGAACATTGGATATTACTGTCTTTTATTTTCATTTTCTGTTTTTATGTTTAAATAAATATTTTACTTCGTTTATTCCCTGCTTTTCCCCTTATGGGGACCCAAAGTGGCTTACATCATTCTCTTTTCCTCTGTTTCATCCTCGCAACAACTCTGTGAGTTAGGTTAGGTTGATAGTATGTGGCTGGCCCTAGCCCAAGGTCACCCACCAAACTTCCATGGCAAAGTGGGCATTTGAACCTGGCTCTTCCAGATCCTGGTCGAATGCCCTAACTACTACACCATACTGGCTGTTCAACAAATAACAAAAAGTGGGTGTGACAAGATATAATAAAGAGTGATTAATGTGAGACAAAGCATTGATAGTGCGTGCATGGTCCTTCAGTTGCCAAACTGAATGCACCACCAGTCACAGCCAGTCCTACACACTGTACCATGCCACTTTTTTTTTTTGGCAGCTGGAGCCAGCCTGCATAACAGGCAGATCAAATGGATATTGGTGGATTTCCAATTCAAACAGGAAACCAAGCAGTCTTACTGTACTACTATTTATATGCTCTTTCTCATACTCTACATCCAAACCCCACCAGGAACTTTAAAGTCATCTCTAGCTAGAGTTGTCAGCTACCGGATGGCACCTGGGGTCCCCAGGAATTATAGTTCATCTCCAAAATAGAGAGACCAGTTCCCATGGAGAAGCCAATCCATGTGTGCCATTCTTAGCCTCTTGGAGGAATGCAATAAATAAAGCTATTTTCTTTAAATGAGGTGGGGAAAAGGCAGATTCTGTAAGGCATTTTGAATTTGTTAGAATGCTCTTAAGTAGTATGTTTTTGAGGCCTAATGCACACAGCAAAGTGTGTGTGTGTATATCAAGTTGACTACTTTAGACCTTACCAGTTCTTTTAGGACTCAAGACAGAAATACGCGCCGTTCAGAAGAACTGTAGGGACATCCCTCCAGTGATGGATACCTTGTGGCTTTGGTCACTTAATTTAAAAAGTAAAGAACAGATACATCCTGTTGGGTCATCGTCTACAATATAGCTATTAACATCACTATGTAATTTTACCATCTAAAAAGCAAAGATGAATGCATACCTGTAAATCACTCAATTCATGTTGTAAACTGTTGCTTACTTGTTTTTACTATTGTTACAAATCTTTTTGAAGCTTTGTAGTTAGCTTTTAATATGTATTTGGACATGAAAACCCAATAAAAACGTATTATACAAAAAAAAGAACTGTAGCAATGTGTTGATGAACTGTGTTTTTTCCAGTTGCTACTCTAGTTAACTGCCATAAGTTTGTCTTTGATAAAGATCTTTTAAATTTTTATTTTGTGCTCTTCTGGGGGGTCTTGGCTGCACTGCTTCCTTAGGTTTCGTCCAGCCCTCCTCCTCTCCCCACGTTGAACAATCTGCACCCCTGCCTTCTAAGGAGCACCCCTGCCTTCTAAGGAATCTACAAAAAAGGGGCAAGAGAAGACATTCACCTCCCACCTCCTATCACGGGGGCTCCAGTTAGCACAAATATATGCATCTGTGCATGAACAGAGATGGCACCTGTTGCATGGCTGTAGTAATTGCAGTTAATATGCCATGTGAAGTAATATACTCTTATGTACATGATCAGAGACTCTGTGGGTGTGTTTGGTTAGTGGTGTTTGAGCTTTACGACTTCTGTACAAAGTATGGTTTCTAATGGGTGTGTAAATGTAATTGCTTGAACTGTGTGCTGCCTCTCCAAGCTCCAGCTCGGGTTGCCAACTCTGAGTTGGGGGATTCCTGGGAATTTGGGGGCAGAGCTCAGGGAGAACAGCATTTGGGAAGAGGACGGAGCTCAGCTGGGATGCGATGCCATAAATGTGATGCCGTCCTCTGAAGCTGTTTTCTTCCAGGGGAACTGATCTTTGTAGTCTCCAGCTCAGTTGAAATTCCAGGGGAACTCCAGGCAGCATCTGAAAGTTGCCATCCTTTGCTCCAGCGAAGGATGGATACATTTTTGATGATGTAAAGTCCTTCTTTTTCAGGCAAGAGGTTTGGGTAGAGGTCAGAGGCGAGGGGAGAGCACAGGATGGTGCACATTCAAAGGTAGTGAAGGTGCATATTCTAGTCCTGGTTATGAGAATATCTACTGGAAAATTTGCTTGCTCTTTAACTATAAAGGTATTCGTTTAAAAGCTGCTCAAAGGTAAAAGCTACATTGCAGGGAATGAAGCATATCGCTGTTAAAAAAAATTTGTGTAGCGGATTAATTCTTCAGTAATCTGGATCAGCCAGTTCGTAAAGTTCATGGGTTCCTCAAATCTTGGGTTTCGTTTATATGCTTTATTTATTTACTTACTTAATTCATTCCCCACCTTTCTCCTCAGTGGGGAGGCTGCGTGTGACTGGCTCAAGGTCACTCAGCCTGCTTCCATGGCAGTCCGGGGATTTGGACTCTAACCACTATACCGTGCTGGCTTTCAGAAATGCTGAGAAGCAGAAAATCTTTGTTAATAATATGTGTCTTATTTGCCAATATTTGAAGTGTGATTTAGGAGGTTTTGAAATCTGGTGGAATCCATATGCTGTTTTGGATTATGCCAGTCTCCACCAGTAACGGAGTGGGGGTGGGAATGGTTTTAGGGTTGCCAGACTCCAGGTAGGGCCTGGGGATCTCCCGCGTTTACATCTGATCTCCTGCTGACAGAGATCAGCTCCCCTGGAGAAAATGGCTGCTTTGAAGGGTGGACTCTGTGGCATTGCTGAGGCCCCTCCCCTCTCCTGGCTCCATCCCCAAAGTCTCCACATATTTTCCAACCCAGACCTGGCAACCCTAAATGGTCTGCTTAACATGAGAGGATACAGTGGCCACCTATAACACAATCCATTTTTCTGCAGGGACTTTTAAGTCATGGGGGCTGAAAAATGGGTGGTGGGTTGGATTTGGCTGCATTTTTTCTTTCTGCCCTGTGCATTAGAATTTTGGCGATCAAAGTGGAATTCATATACCAAATACATAATTTTGGAATAGCATAATAACTGCAGTTCTTGTTAGAATTGATTTTTTAAAAAATAAGAGGGCATTTGCAGATTTATTTCCCTCTTTTATATTCCAGGGCTTCTATTTAGGAATTTATTGTGTAAACTAAGGAATTAGTCGAGTCCACAGAATCCAAGTAAATCCAGCTCCCCCCCTCCCTCTGCAGCGTTTGTAGTTCGACTGTTTCCTGGTCTCGCAGAAAGAGGCAGTGCTGAGTTAGAAAGACAAAAATAGACCTTTACAGAGAAATATAGGGATTGTAAATGTGTGTGTGTGTGTGTGTGTGTGCGTGTGTGTGTGTGTGTGCGCGCGCGCGCGCGCGTGGTGGCGGTGACGAGGGGAAGGCAGCGTTCGACTGGTTTCCAGGAGGAGCCCTTCTCCCTTTTCACTGTGCGTTAGGGCATTTTGTACAGATTTTTGTTCTGTTTATACACTTACCTCTTCCGGAAGCTCTTTGCATCTATTTGCGGGAGGAAAAAACAGCAACTGTGATCAGAAAACGACCAGAGACCATTTTATTTGAGCGGGGAAGAAAGAGGAGAGATACCATCACGGGGATATAAATATCAGCTGGTGTTTTTTTGTTTTTTTGGGAGCGAGAATCATACATAAGTAGTGCAATCTGATACCCACCCTAAGTGACAGCAATGGGGTGTTTGGGCAACAGCAAAACGGAGGATCAGCGTATTGATGAGAAAGCACAGCGAGAAGCCAACAAAAAAATAGAGAAGCAGTTGCAGAAAGAGAGATTGGCTTATAAAGCCACACACCGTTTGCTTCTGCTGGGTAAGGAAGGAGGGCTTGCGGGGGGGAGGGGGATGAGAGTGCAGTGGTGCAATTCAGTTTCCCATGGCCGGCATATGATAGAGGAGCTGTGCTGTTTGGGTGTAATAGAATACGAGATGGTCGGAATGCTGATCTCCTTTACTGAGCAGCGCTGTAAAATGCAGAGATTGCCCTGGATATGTGTATAGATGTTTCTGACCTCCCCGTTTTCCTGCTCCCCTAAATGTATACATCACACTTTTTTTCCTCTTCTTTTTTTCAGGGGCTGGTGAGTCAGGGAAAAGCACTATTGTCAAGCAGATGAGGATCTTGCATGTAAATGGATTTAATTCAGAGTAAGAATTGTTGATGCTTCCAGTGTTTTTAATATGTACATTTAATCCATATTTACACAAACCAGAGAATTTATCTTAGCCTTTTTGCATGTAGTTCATTTGAGATTTACTGCCACCACAGTCGCCATCTCAAGTTGTTAATACTTAGAATTGATATATATATCAAAGGAAACGTTACATTTATTTTCTCCCCCTCCTGAGCTGTTCTTTTTACTGTATTTTCACACTGTTGCTACTGCAGTGCTTAATAGGCCCTTGTGTAGCTACAACATGGCGACTACTTCTTATAACAGCAAATAACTAAATGTTGTCTGAATATGTAAAATTAAAGATACCTGTCAGTTCATGCACAGATTGGAAGCACTCAATTGGTAAAAAAGTACCAGGACTAAAATCCATTCTGAAATGTTCATAGGCTGTATTATTTATCTCAGAATCAGTTAAACAGTATGTTAATTACAGCTGTTTGTGGATGGATATGCTGAAATATTTGGGATTAAATTCAGTTTGTAATGTAAGTGGACAGATACCTGATAGTCTTCCTTTCTCTCCCCAGACCTTTAAGCATAGACTGTTGACATCTGGCACTTGAAAGAAATAAAAAGAATTTATTTTAATTAAACTTGTGTTCTAAGTGTTCGATTGTGAAGTTAAATAATAATGCTAAGGATAAAAATGGGGGGTTTTATTGAGTTTCAGGGTCTTATTGGTAGTAGAATACTGAAGGGTTTTTTATTGCTGTTTCAATGCAGAGAAAAGAAACAGAAAATTTTGGATATTCGGAAAAATGTTAAAGATGCAATCGTGGTAAGAATATATATATATCTGCTGATCTTAAATTGTGTATGTTTTAATGATTAGGATTGTTGCATGCAGAGAAGATCTAATTTTTTTCTGATGACTGGGTCATCTTCAGTGATCCTCTGTTTAGCCATATTAATAAATCTTGTCTTTGTGTGTGTGTGTGTGTTTTCTTATCCTAGACTATAGTTTCAGCAATGAGCACCTTAATACCTCCTGTTCCGTTGGCCAACCAAGAAAACCAGTTCCGAGCAGATTACATTAAGAGTATAGCCCCACTTTCTGACTTTGACTACACCCAGGTAAGATTTCAGAGTCTTCTGTCCCCCTACTTCTCCTGTTACTTCACAACACAATTAAAAAAACACATACAGGTGTATTGTCATGTTGGATTGTGTTCTTCTTATAGAGCAGTATTTTCTGTTTTGTAATATATTTTGAGTATTATATAATGAAAGCAATCAAGAACCCTGTGGAATTTAGTTTTGTGGAGTAACAACTCTGTTAAAATTAGTTGCTGAGGGATATTAATAAAAACCAATGTGAATAAACAGTGTAATATGTACAGTCTCGAGATGATGGATCCATTTTCCTGAAGATTGCATTTTCATGATAGCATGTTTAGGTGATGGTCAGGTAAGGCATTTTTGAACATCCTTTATATTTACAATGCTTAATGTTCATGGCTTCTGAATATCTGCTCTTTTCGTGTGTGTATACATTATTTTCTTATGAGAATGGCTAGAAGAGAAAAGACCAATCATAGTGTTATTCATTTGTGACTAAATTTAAAAAATACATGATCAGGTGAATTTGCCAACAGTGGAGATCTGCATTGGATTACTTTGATATTAAATGTTAAACTTTTCTGTAAGCAAAAATAGAAATTTTGGCTTTTGTTACCTCAAAGTATGTTAACTGGTTTGCAGTCGCTGAGAGACCTGACAGGTGGTTTCCCCCCCTCCCCTCAGGAGCATCTTCTGCATTACAACTGCTGGCGGGAAAGTGTTAGAGAAACTAACTGTTCTCTTTTTTCATATTTTATACTTTGATAAATCTTTCAATGTGATGTTTCAGGGATACTTTAGAAATATAGCTTTTAAATAGCTGTTCAGAACTGTATAGCGTGTGTGTGTGAACTATATACATGCATGTAGTTTGAATGGTTCCTCCATTGACAAAACGATGAACTGATCCTTAAAACAGGATACAATATGAACTGTATAACTTTCAGTGACATTAAGCTTTATTTTGCAGACATACAAGTTGCTACGCATGGCTTTCTTAGGTTTTAGTTTAATCCCTTTGGAAACTAGGACTAAAAGCCATTTTCACACTGTTGTTTTTGTGGGGCCTTCACAACAGCATTCTTGCATGGTAAAGAATTTGTGGAATTGCCCATGTAAAACTCAAAACTGGGACTTTTCTGGAAGCACTCATGGAAATCAAGGTTGATATTGCAAAATCAGTTGTGGATTTGGCATCTCTTTTTTGAAAGAGCAGAGGTTTGGAATGTGTCATATTCTTTGGAATTAGTTTACATTACAGTCCAATGCACAGTTACTTTGTTATAAATCCACAGAAACTAGTGGGATTAGACTGGAGTTACTCTGTTCAGGGTTGCACTGTTATTTGGGTATGTTTACATGAAATAAGTTTGTAAAAGATAGTTGTACATACAAAATCATCCCTAATTAGAACAAAAGCAAGTCAGTATTTTGGCTGCAGTGTTCTGCGGTGTTAGGCATTGAAGGCAGCTTCATTTAGTTGTAGCTCTGCACACATTTGCAGTATTGGTTTTCCTTTATGGAGCTAGTGCTTTCTTTAGTTACAGTATGTTAGTTACACATTAAAAGGTTTGTCTTGAGCACCAAATTTAATTTCAATGGTCAGGATGCAAAAGCACATTGCAACCAGTTATGTGAGCCAAAAGGGACTCAAATTCTTTGCTAAATAGCAGTCCTCAATTCCACATGACAAACCATTTTTGAAAATGAAGAAAATTTTGAAAGCTGCTTGTAATAATGGCATGGCAAGCTAATGTTCAAAGAAAAAAATTAAAATTCTATTGTGCTTGTGCAAATCTTTGTGCATGCTGGAGCTCTAAAGGTTTTAATCTTTGTAGGTTGGTAGTAGGATGGTGCTGGCCAGCTTTATGAGGAAGAGTTTCCCAGTGTTTGTGTCATTTGTGTTGGCTATGGACACAATATATATATATATTGTACAGTTCCGTGCTCAGTTAAATTTTAATAATTTGCATGTGGTGAGTTAAGTGACTTATATGGATCTGCAGATAATTACATTAGTGTTTCCAAATTGCATTCTGTTAACTCTAAATAACAATTGTCTGTTATTGACCTGGAATGAAGTCAGTTGTGGTTCAAACGGGATGAACTTTAAAAAATACTGCTACAAGATTTTATCAAGTCTGAATTGCAATAGGTAGTGTCATATTTGTGTAATTTATCCGTTTTGCTTTGAAATAAACTGTATTTATAGAGCATTGTGCATTGCAGGTACAGCATACAGATGTGGAGGATTCTGATAAGAAACAATACAGCCATCAGTTTCTCCTTCCCCACATATGGGGATAACTGATTTTTACTAGCATTCTTCATTTGTGAGTGCTGGATCGTGCCTGTGATGTGTGAACAAATCATGCCAGTGTTGACTGGCAATGCAGTTTGAACAGTGTTTATTCAGAAGTAAGTGAGCCTTACTCCCTGCAAAAGTGCCTAGGACTGCGGCTAAAAACTACAGTCCTATGCATACTTTCTTGACATTAAGCTCCACTGAATGAAGTGACGGTCGTAGAATTGCATGCCTGTAAAACTTAGCAAACTTACTTGGAAATATGCCACATTAAAATCTATAGGATTTTTTTTAGTTAATATGTTTAGAACTGGCTTAATTATTTAAAGCATCCCCCCCAAAACTATGACCAGAATTCTTTGAACTGAACTCAGATGTATTTATTTACCCTTAATATTGCAACCATTGTCGTGAATAATCCCCGGTTTCTGATAGTGGTAGAGTTAGCCTCATATAGTAATTCTGGCATCAATAATTAAGTTATATTTATTATTGCTGTATATTGGAATATATGATTAACCGTTTCTCATGTGCTCATGGCTTGGTATGTTGTACTTAAGTTTTCACTAGTGGTTGCAGGTGTATATTTGCTAGCTGAGTGTTTCATCTTGTAATGTTGCCCTGACTTGGATGGCCCAGGCTAGCTTGATCACATCAGATCTCAGAAGCTAAGCAGGGTCAACAATGGTTAGTACTTAGGTGGGAGACCACCAAGAAAGTTAAGAGTTGCTACGCAGAGGCAGGCAGTGGCAAACCACCTCTCTTTGTCTATTGCCTTGAAAACCCTACAAAGTCCGCATAAGTTGGCTCTGACTTGACAGCATTTTCCACCTCCAGTGTTGCCTTTTGTTATATTTCAGAGAGGTTTGTGAAGGTATTAACAGGAATTTCTGTTAATTTTAGTAGCTATATTTTTTTAAAAAACTTGGAATTTACACAATTTACAGAACTGTTGTACTATAGTTTTTCTTTGGTATAAGTTTAGGAGATACATTTGCATAATAGTATTATATATTATATTTTAGACAGGATAGGAAATTCTTTAGTTCGGGTCTTAGTGTGTTTAAGGACAACGTTTGCAGAAAGACTGATGGTAGAAGTAGGAACACTGCTGTTTAAATGGGACTTCGGGGACAGAGCAGTGATTGACATTTTTTAAGTTAAGAGGAATTGACTTGTGCCATTTTTAATCCTGTATTGATGGTTGTTTTGCCCTTTGTGAGGTACAGTGAACATATTAAGGACATATTTTGCTACTAGCTGTGGACAAACATGATGTCTATTATATAAGTTTCGCCTCGTTAAAGATGGTAAATTGCCATGTTGTTTTGAGCTTCTTCTAGAAACATATTCTAAATATTTAAAGATAACAAGCAGGCTGTAAAACCTTAATAGAAGTATTTGCGATCTGTATGTGTATGTAGAGAAGTTATTAGGAAATGTGAGCTGCTTTTAGGAGTTCATTGCTTTTTCGTCAATTGTCGAACAAGAAACTAAATGATCAGCATATAAAATAGAAATGTTAATGGGTATAAACTACAGCAAGTTAAATATCCTTAAATCCCAATTTAGGAGGTAGAGTGGTGGACTAGGAACTGGGAGACCCAAATTCAAATCTCCATTTTGTCGTGGAAGCTTGCTGGGTGACCTTGGGACCTTGGGCCAGTCATATGCTCTTGGCCTTATTTACATAATTCTCCTCTTCTCCCTTTCATCCTCACAATAAACCTGTGATGTAAGCCACTTTGGGCCCCCATTGGGAAGAAAGATGTGGTATAAATGAGGTAACATGAATGAATAAATCCAATTCCTATCTAGGGCTGCGGTCACACGGAACATTAGCCATGCGAGTCAGACGGAAGACATGCGGGTTTTCCGGGCGCGATCTCACCGGCACATCTGGGAAGTGTAGCACTCCCGTGGCTCAAACGAGGCTTCCTGCCGAAACCACGCGGCAAAAAACTAGTACCTCCGAGGTACTAGTTTCCGGAAACCGCGGGGCAAGGGCGGGCGTCTGATCGCGTTTCCGGTGGCATCCGGCGCCCGCCCATGTTCCCTGGCGAAAAAGTTTTTTTTTCTTCAAGTCTTTGTGGATGCGCAAAAGCACACAACGGAGCATGCGCAGTCATGGTGTAAACAAAAAAAAACCTTCCAGTTTGCCGCACCGCGCACTTCGTTTTTGCGCGCGGGATTGTCCTGCGATCGGCACCTCTCCTTTCCCACGGAACCTCCACAGTACCTCCACGGGAGGTCTGATCAGGTAACCGCGCCTTAGTTTGCCCCGGGGCAAACTGCCACACTTCCCCCCCGCAGTTTCCTGCCCGTGTGACCGGGACCAAGATTTGGGTGCATCTAGGCAACTGACATAAATGAAATTTGGCATGCTTAACTCTGTATAGTATAAGCCTGTTAGCATGAGTGCACACAATAATTTTACCATTTCTATGGATGGTTATTCCTGTTGATTTTCCGGAAAAAGTTTTCTCTCCTTATAGATTTTCAAAGTAATGCTGTGTGGACATTTATTTATTTACTTACTTTATTACCCCCCCCAAGACCCAAAAAGCCTTACAAGATTCTTCCCATCTCCATTTTATCTTCACAACCACCCTGTGAGGTAAGGTTAGGCTGAGAGTGGCTAACTGACTTCCATGGCAGAGTAGGGATTTGAACCTGGGTCTCCCATATTCTGGTCTGACAGTCTAACTTC